TAAAAGATTTTTTTAAAACCTGAAAACTGATTTATACACATGTGCCCTGAATGGTTTCCCTACTGGTGTTGCTATCGAATCACAAAGCTACATCTCTGAAAACTATTATGGTCTTCTACTTTTAAAAATTTCTGTATCAGCCACTTCACTATATACATAGCAAATTCTTCATCTTATGAAAAGTCCATAAAAGTCCATGCACGTGAAGGGGAAAAATCTTTCATTTTGACTTCTTTTTTGTGTGCAGGGGAAGAAACAAATATAGGGAAAATGCAATGAAGGGGGCCATTTGAGCAGATGGAACAAGAAATTGAGTGGCCAGTATATTATGCATGTATGAGTTAATTTTCTCAAAGACACTCAAGACAAGCTCAGATATCTTCACCTGTTAATGCCTGCAACTTCAAGTGTGAACTTCCATCTGTGAAATAGCCAAGATCACATGACACACATGAAATGCTGGATAGTTCAGTATTTTACATCTCTAGCTGCAAAGCCAGAGGTTGGGAGTTCGATTCCCCACTGTGCTTCCTTGAAAGGGGCTGGACTTGATGATCCACAGGGTCCCTTCCAGCTCTGCAGTTCTAAGATTATGATTATTATTAATCCACATATGTCTATGTCAAGAGCAATCACTAAAGCATTAATACAGTAATATGTGTGCATGTACAAAAGGTAATTACTCTATCTTTTCTAAACAACAGCTGTGGTCACCCAACTCCACAAGGAACCTTGGTTCATCAGTCACAAGCAGCATGCTGGTGGGCTACTTGATCATTCTTTGTGGACCAGCTTAGTAAACCATGGAGTGTTTATCATGTCATCTCAAAGGAGGCACAGTCAGTTCTTTTCCAAATGACTTTAAAAAAAACCAACCAACTTAAAACAAACCATGGATTCCTTTTCTGGTTTGTTAAGAAAATGAACAGCTTGGTTCCTGCTATAAATGGTCTTAATTAAGTAGTTTTACTAGCAAGAAAAATACTGTGCCTTCTTCCCTTTTTAAAAAACAATATCCATCAGACTAGGCACGATGAAGGTGTCTAATTTAAAATGTGACTCATAAAAAGACCATTTAGCTTGCCAATAGCGATAATTCTGTATGTCTACAATGTAAGCCTTCAAATTGAGTCTGAGCGATCTCCATCTTAAATATAGGGAAAATCCTGTTGTTGATAAGCCATGTCCTTACAAATGGAGATTAATCACAAAGGGGAGAGGAACAGAATAAAAGAAATTAGAAAGTAGTTAATGGACATCAATAAGGAGCAAAAAAAAAAAAAAAAGCCTGCCCTCAGACCAGCCTACCACAACATTTTTAACATGTTATAGTGAGTCACACTATTGATCCGTCTAAGCCAATATTGTCAATTCTGATTGGCCACACCTCTCTGGATTTCATGGAGGATTCTTTTCTAATCCAACTTCATTGTTATGTGCCATCAAAGTTACATCTGACTTATGATGACTCCAGTATGGTTTTCAAGGGATGTGAGATAGTCAAGGAGTGGATTTACTATTGTCCAGGGAGCTTCCATGGCCTGGTGAGGATTTGAGTTCAGATCTTCTGGGTCCTACACTGTTCCATGCACTACACCACAATGGTACCACCAATCTACATAAAGATCCTCATTATTCTCTGCCGGTTTCTATTCAAGTACTAACCTAGTCCAATGTTGCTTAGCTTTTGAAAACAGACAAGCTCAATTGTGTTCAAGATGATATGGTGGTTCTCTAATGGTTATATATATATTGCACTCTACTGTTGTGTTTTTTCCACTATCAAGATGTGTACCTCACAACTCTGAGAAAGAAATATGCAACCACAACCAAAGGTTATCCAATAAAACTGAGTGCTCTACATGGCTTTGAAAATAAAAAAGAGAACTGCTTCATCAACAACTTAGCTAAAATTAAAAGATTCTATCATCCTGGCTTTGACATCTATAGCAATGACTGTACTGTTGGTGGTATGTAATTGCAGGTGGACTATCCTTATCTTGTCATGACCTATAGATATCTATGTTTTAGTTAGACAGTAGCTAGGTCTAACTACCTACATCACCTGCTTTGCAGTTTCATTGCTTACTATAGAAATCAAAACCTCTTTCAGTCTTTCAAACCTTCTGCTTAACTTACTTTAATTATTTCATCCTCCTTCATCTTCCATTTACCAACTTCTCAAAGAGACTCTTAATTAAACTCTTAAGCTAATTCTCACAGTGAGTCATTCTGGAGAATTTAAGATGTGCAGGAATCTGTTAGATAGCCTGAACCTATTTATATTGAACTTTGACCCTGAAGAATTACAAATTAAAACTCAGGAACAAAGGACACCACACCCTTCCCTAATTGTTATTATGTATTTGAAATACATTTGGCTCTTGTAATTGTAATTAGAAAGAAAGTTCAAGATCCCAGGAATATGGAAGCAATTTGAAGTCCTGCTGATTTAAGTGCAAGCCTGAGGATACAATATCCTAGCCACCGAACTGGCAAAAAGCCTCACTGAGCTCTGCAGAACTTACTCCCAAGTAGACATGTATAGAAATAAACTGTAAATCTTGCATTCAAATAATGGTATTCAATTATGGTATTTAATGGTATTTAACTATGCATGGTTGTATGAAGATGAGAATTCTAATGAAACAGCAACCTCTCTTACTTCCAAAACTGAAGTCTTTGGGACTAGTCTTAAGAACATGAGGAAAAAGTCATTCATAAATCACACAGTATTTCAGAAGAACTCATAATAGCTTGATATGGCTTCTAAAAAATAAAAAAAAAATCCCAATGTTTGCCAAATTGCAATGCTTCCAGAAGACACCCTATTGTCCATCGTTTGGCATGGCTCCTGCAAGGCCATCACAAATTTTGCTTGATTGGCATTGATCTGATGTCCCTTTGAAGAAGAACACAGTCAGCAATCACCTTCTAAGACTTAACTATTCCTTTAAAAAAAAAATCAAAGCATGCCTTTGGTCAACTGCATCAGTCACCTGAAAGCCACGAAGTTCTACCAATAATAATAATAATAATACTATTAACAACAACACAACTCTGACAATGATGCTTAGTTTCAAAATGAAACTGTAAAAAAGGAGCGAAACAAGTCCTTTCAGAACATTAGGACTCTTGTCTCTGGAGGCTCTCTGAAAAGAATCTATGAAACTTCCTCAAATCATCTATTTCCTGGAGTCAGAAAGAGAAGAGACATTTAAAAAAGCCCACAACAACAACAACAAAAAACCCTGCTCACTGAAGGGGAAAAAAATTGTCAAGCTAGGCTTTGCCAACAAAGCTTCAGGAAAAAAATGGAGAAACATCCATAATTGCATGAGCACTTCCCATCTCAGCTTTGTCTAGTGGAAAAGCCTGTCCTCGCTCTCGCTCTCCTCCATTTTCTGGTGGAGCTAGAGAACATGACATGGCTTACCTGACTCAGATCGCAGCCCTCTGTCCAACTATTCACTTCCTCTCAGGCATACAAGGAGCTTCATGAGACAAACAGGGCATGCAGACAAAGCAGCAGCAGAAAAGCAACCCCCGTCTCCCTACCTTCCTCCTTCCTTTTCCACCACACTCCTTCCTACCAGAAGGTCCTCCCAAAAACCAAGAGGAGAAAAACTTTCTTGCGGGGAGGGAGCGTGCAGAAAGGGCTGAGAGCCAGATCACACACAGAGAGAGAGACAGAAAGAGAGAGAGAGAGAGCAGAGGATCTTTGAGGATCTTCTGCAAGGATCTCTCTCCCCTCTTTCTTTTTTTTTTTTGCCCAGGTCCGCCTAAGGAGGCACTACAAAGCTCAGGAAGAAAAGAGGGTGCCTCCAAGAGAAGGAGGAGGAGGAAAGAGAAAGCCTAGACCCGGTGGTGGTGTGCGAAAGAGAAGTAGCTTTGTGTTTTGGAGTCTGGACTGGAACCAAAGCAGACAGCTTGCAAATGGAGGACAAGGAGATAAAGAAAGAAGAGGGGGGAGAGAGGGATCTGAGGGGGGCGGGAAGCTCAGCTGCTTCTCATTCCCTGGAAAGCCATGGACACCAGGGAACTGAACAAGAAGTGGAGCTCTTTATTAAGGCCCCTCTCCTGGTCTTCCCTTCGCCTTTCTTCCCTTCTCTCTCTCTCTGCCTCTCAAAGGAAAAGGAGCAGGACCGTGTGTAATGGCTTCTCTCCAGCTCCACCGCTGTTCTCTTCCAAGCCAACCCTTTCATAAGCCCCGGCCAAAGGGAGACCCCCACCATCTCTCTCAACTTCAGGAGAGAGGCGAGTTGGGGGTATAGAAAAAAGAGTGGAGGGGTGGTGGTGGTGGTGGTGGTGGTGGAGGAAGGTCCACTACACCCCCAGCCTGACGGAAGGTCCAGATTTGTCAGAAGAGAAGGAGAAACAGAAAGAGAGAGAAAGAGAAAGCAAAGAGAGAGAGAGAGAGAGGTCACCGGATTGCCTGGGTTGAGCCAGCTCTCTCTCTCTCTCTTTCTCTCTCTCTCTCTCTCTCTCCCCACCTCTCCCGCCTGCGATCCAATCACTTCCCCACAACCAAACCCCCCAACTGCCCCCACACACTTCGGAGCGCCTCTCCTCTGACTTATCTCTTCCCCCCCCACGCACGCCACCCTTAATGCAACAACAACAAAAAATTAATTAACTGCCTTCCTCCTCCTCCTCCCACCAGCAGCAGCACCAGCTCCACCACCACCACCACCACCTCCTCCTCCTTCTCCTCCTCCTCCCCCATTGCAAGAGAGACTTCTCTCTAAACAAAACCACCACCGCCGCCACCTCGATTTTCATTCCTTGGGCTTGTCTGAATGAATGGGAGCGTGGATTCCCGAGGAGGTCTCTTAAAAAAAAAAAAGAAAGAAACAAGGGTGGGGAAAAAAGGAGCGAAGGTGGTGGGACCCCGCAAGGAGACCTCTCTTTTTTTTCCTCCTTTCTCTCTTTCTTTCTCGCTCGCTTTCCCAATTTTGTGCCATCCGAGATGGGTTTTTTTTTTAATTGTGAGAACTTACAGGAACGTCCCGGTGCTGGTGCTGGTCGCTTTCTTCTGCTCTCTTTCCTCTCCTCCTTCTTCTTGCAATTGTTGTGGAAGTTGTTTTTGCTAGTCTCATGTGCTCCTTGCCAGGTCTCAGCAATGGAGGATCGCCATCTTTTTCCCTGCTTTTTTTTCTCCCCCTCTCCCCCCTCTCTCCCTCTCTCCCTCTCTCTCTCCTTCACTGGCTTGCTGCAGCTGCAGATGACCTGAGATATCCGTCTCTCTCTCTCACTCAACCCTCTGTGTGTCTCTCTCTGAATAATGAGCAACCAGAGGGAGAGAGAGAGGGAGAGAGAGAAAGAAGACAAATCTCCTTGC